CCCCAAAACCCCAAAACCCCAAAACCCCATCTGTGCCAAGGATTTCTGAATATTCAGTAAGAATCTTTACCTTAAGAAGGCTCTACAATCGACCAAAGGTATTAAGCTTTTTACTGCTAAAGCAGTGGTCAGCATGTTAGGTATAATTTAGAACAGACTAGCTGTACGTACGAGCATTGGTGGATTTTGGAGCCGAGTAAAATATATGGGATTATGCTGGTTGGTGCTGTTCTTAGGTATGCCAATGGGGTTCTTAGAAATGAAGAGTGGGGTTATGTGTACGATAAGAGAGTGGGGCATATCTATAGGTGTCCCTTTGGGCATTTTATTTTGACATTTTTAGTGAAGTCATGGATAAATTATTGGGTCTGGGCTTTAAAGGATCTTCTGTACTAAAAATACTAGTGTAGATAGTGCCTCATTTTTTGTAAAAGGGGGATAAAGTAGTTTGGAGTTGAACTGAAGTCAGGTTTAGTAGTACCTCTGTTACTCATTGATTTTCTTCCTCTTTGCAACGGAAATAGTACTTCTGGGACATTAAAAATAAGCGCTTTATTTGACCTAATATTAGCTTGACTGGAGCAAACTGTGGTGTGGAAGCTTAGAGAAAAATTACATTCAAGATTAAGGACTTCATAAATTTCAATAAAATCATTGCTTTATGAATATTGCAGTGATCGAGCACAAGAGCACTCTTCTTCATAATATGTTCTTATCATAAACTAGTCGCTTTGCCAGCAGCTTTAAAGATCTTAAAATTTAGCAGAATTATTTCTTTGAGCCAAGGGAGAAGCACCCCATTCCTCTGGAGAAGTTATTGCCAGTTTGATTGTCTTGAAGCCTTAAATTCTTTGGTTGTTATTTTGTAGCATTCTTCTTTAGGAATCCAACTCCTATCATATGTTATCTTATTGAGGATGCTAGCCTCATCAGTATTTCCAAAAAAATATCAGGATTATTTAACTTGGTAAACTCATGCATAGCATTTTTAGCCAACTACAGACATTTCTTTCCTGCATATTTCGATATTTATTTTATGTGTTACCTCGGTTGCTTACTTCAGGGGTTTTGGGGTTTTGGGGTTTTGGGGTTTTGGGG